TGCTTCTTCTACTTTTATGGGAGGTTAGACACAATTGGACTGTGAAAATTAGTTTTTAAGTAAAATCTGTTGATTTATCAAATTGTGATAGAAATGAGATTTAGAACTCTCTTCAGAAAAGAAATGACTTTTAAACCTATGTGACAGCAACTACTTATCCTGGAGGATAAAGCAGGTCTTTTGCTACTTCCTGGTTTTGTCTCTAATGAACATTCTCATCTGAAAAGAATCCATCTGCCTTCATGTTACAAAAGAATGATCCTGAGCTCTTACTTTTCTTACCTTGGCCCTTCCCTGTACCTCTAAGCTAAAGGCAACTAGACAAAACCAAACAACAGTTTTAAAGTAGAATAGATGGGATATGTTGGCCCATGTTCTGCTAAGTTTTGCCAGTCTTTCCCATGGATTAGGAGAGGTTGTAACTCCATTCATAGGAGAGGTATCTTCACCCACAGAGGGAGAAGAAATGAGAGGAAAAAGAAGAAAATCTCAGAGGCAAAGGAGGGGAAGGCTCTGAATTCAAGTCCCATTTTATGAAAATAAAGGATAGGTTCTGAGACTCCAATATTCAATAGCTAATGGTGTTAGAATCTCTTAGCCTTTTTAATTTCCTATCAAATGCAGTGAATCAGTCATGCATCTTCCTGTGTTGAAGATCACAAGACACAGGGGGAGAAAAGTACTTGGTATCAGCATTGTCTCCTACACTAGTGCTAGGCTATTTCCCTTCCTTTATCAAGGGAGCTTGCTTAGACTCAGCCGAAGCTTTTCTCTTGAGACAGTTTGTCATTATTTAGCAGCTGATTTTCCGTTGCCCCCTACTTTTATTTTTTTCCTACCTGCTACTGCCTCACCTCTGACCTTCTAATGTTGACTTCATGCTTAAGAAGGGCCAATTTAGTTGGGAGCAAAGATAACAATCAAATTAATCTACTTACTTGCATGTTAACAAAAGCTTTAATCTGGGAAAGAAATCAGAACTTGTTAATACCTGGTGTCTATGAAGCATATTACAAAGTGCTTTCATGCAATGTCAATATAACCTAACACTAAGACTGCTAATGAGGCAGAATGACTACATTAATCTTGCCTTTTAATAGATGGGGAAATGAAGTTAAGAACTCTGCCCTCACTCCTATACTAGAAGATAGTAGCTTGGTAAATGCTTCTGCACAGTATTTAAACAACCAGCCCTCAATCATACTACATTTCTCTCCAACCCCAATATACAGAGAAAACCCTTTATTGTTCACCAGCCTACCAGCTGCTGGCACTGGCTTTCTTAGTCTAACCACAGGATGCAAATATGGAAAAGCCTCACAGATTAATTAGGAGGGTTGCAATTATATCAACTCCCAGTGGTAATAATTGGATGCCTTATGGGAAATTAAATCAAATATTCCATAAAAATGAAGCTTTCTGGAAAAATAAATGAAAGAAGGCAAAAGATGGGAGAATTTGAGAATAATAGAAATATCCAGATTTCTCTATTTACAAATGGAAGTTTAGGGGCAGGTGCTTGTGGCTCATTTCTGTAATCCTAGATACTCAGGGGACTGAGCATGGTTCAAAGCCAGCCTGAGCAAAAAGGTTCATGAAACCGTTATCTCCAATTAATCACACACACACACACACACACACACACACACACACACACACACACACACACACACACACACACAAGGAGCTGTGGCTCAAGTGGTAGAATGCCAACCTCAATTGAAAATTCTAAAGGACAGGGTCCAGGATCCAATTTCAAACACCAGTTCTGGCACCAAACAAAGAAAAGAAGAGAAGAGTAGGCATTTTTTTCACAGGTGAAATACAACCAACCTCTAAGTAACAGATAAAGCTATTTGTTTACCTGACAATGTCAAGAAAGGAAAAAAGATAATACTTTTTCAGAAAATTTGCTGTTATTGAGACAAAAATCTTCAAATACAGACCAATAAAAGAAAACTATGTCAATTGAACTAAAGAATATTAATACACTGTACTTGTGTTTAATACCCAATAGCATATTAATAATGACATACTAATTGCAAGTGGAATTTGGGCATTAAATATGCAAAAGTATATAGCAAGCACATGACAGTTCATGCTTTTTAGATCTAAGAGAAAAATAGATATGATCATCTTCATAGCAAGCCATGAAAAGATATGGAATAAACTCAAAAATAAATCAGTAAAAGAAATCAATCTGAAAATCCTGTGTAGTGTGTGATTCCAACTACATGACATTCTGGAAAAGATAAAACTGTGAACACAGCAAAAAAAGGGATTTGGACCTAAGAATTCCATTCTGGAAATCTATATTACATATACATTGCCCATTGAACAAAATTCCATATACAAGAATATTTATAGCAGCTTTGTTGCTCATAGCAAAAGTGAAAATCAATATATATCCACAAGAGACTTAGATTAGACTAAGATGTATTACTCTGAAATACTGAAAACAGAGAATGATCTTTACATGATTATATAATACATCTTTACTGTATGCCATCATTAAATATAAAACATGACACATTTATAACATGTGCTTCTATTAGATAAAATGGTAGATAATAAAGATATATAGATGCATGCTTCTACATATGTATAAACATTTGCATATGCACATAGATAACTTTATTCTTTTATGTTTCTAACATTTCTATAAAATTAGACAAGAATGGTTGGGTGCTGGTGGCTCATGCTTGTAATCCTAGCTATTCAGGAGCCTGAGATCTGAGATCATCATTCAAAGCCACATGTGGCTAAAGCAGTAGATCATTAGCCTTGAGCAAAAAAGCTCAGGGACAGCTACCAGAGGCCTTGTGTTCAAGTTCCAAGACTGGCACGCACATGCGTGTGCGCGCACACACACACACACACACACACATACACACACACACACACACATACAAGTAGACAAGAAATTGGCATTGCCTATGGAGAGAATGCTGGACTGAGAGTCTGAAATAGAAAAATAAAGGCGGTATTTTGTGACATTAAATGTATTGTTATGATGTGTCTATATTATTGCAAAAGTTAATGTTTTAAAAGTAAATATAATTAAATGAATTTATGAAGTAATAACTTCTTGCATCAATGAAGAGTAATGTGAAAATAATTATTTAGTATGGTAGACTATTAGCTTTGTGTTAGTGTGTGTGTGTGTGTGTGTCTGTCTGTCTGTCTGTCTGTCTGTCTGCCAGCCTATATTGGGGCTTGAACTCATAGCCTAGTCAATGTTCCTTAGCTTATTTCCTTAAGGCTGGTGTTCTACCACATAAGCCACAGCTCCAATACCAGCTTTATTTTGGTAGTTAATCATTGATAAGAGTCCTAGGAGACTTTCCTCCAAGCACTGGCTTGGAACCAGGATTCTCAGAAGACAGCCTGGAGTAGCTAGAATTAAAGGCCTGAACCATCAGCACCTAGCTAACATGATAAGCTTTGCGAAAGGAAACCAATTATCTATTCAGGTTGTGCTCTTGTTGTGTGCCTTAAAATGAGCTCTCTCTTCTCACTAGGTTCCAGTCCCAATGCCCAGATCTTAATAAAAGGACATAAAATGGAATCGGCCTTCAAGAAGCTCACAGTTCAATGGGAAACCTTCACAGTCAGTATTAGAGGAAGATGGTTGTCCTGATTTAGATCCAAAATGTTTAGTAAATTCATTTCTTTTCAAGATCATAACAAGAACTTACTTCAACCATCCATCCTCCTCTGCAGACTTCACCCAGTCCCTTGTTAACTGTCAACACTTCTGAAACAGTTGATTTCACCCCCCTCAGAGCTTTGGGAAGATTCCAGAGACTTACAGAGCTGTTAGTCACCTTGAGTTCTAACCTCTGATCTTTACAGAACAATTCCAGTTCTGAAAGTTGTCAAGTAATTTCCCACCTCTACTCTTTTTTTGTAAAATTATGCTTTGTTTGGAATATTATTCAACTTCGTGTCTTGTTCCCTGGATAATGCCTATCCAACCATGATTATTAGCTTTAAGTCTTCTCCAGGAAAACTCTGCCTAGCTGTCATATATATTATGTCAAGAACCTTTCCTCAGGTTGCAGCTTCCTGGTGTTCATTTTGTTAGGCTATAAGTTAGTTGTTCAAAGGAGTTATACCACTGGAATTCTCCCCTGCATATACTGTACTTTGATTAATACAGGTATGTATATAGGCACATATGACTCCATGTATATTTCTTATTGTTATTTGTTTATAGTTATAAATCAGGTCTTGAAGTATAAGTCAAAGGAGGTCAAGGAGGGGCAGACAAATCAAGACTGGAGGAGTGAGAGAATGTAGACATCAGATTTGATGTATATATGTAAAAATGGAGCTTGAATTGAGAGGATAGGTGGAATGGAGAGAGATGGGGGGGGAATAATGGAAGGGGCAACACTGATCAAGAGACATGTTTACCCATACACCAACAAGTTGAACGGAAACCACTTTTTTAAAAAAATCTAAAAGAGAAAAGCAAGAACTCTGTCCATCAGCTTTTGCCTTGGCCCAACTGAACCTCTTTACAGTAGACAGGGACAGCCTAGGGAAGGTAAATGGAATGTGAGGACAGAGACAATGGTGCCAGGGATGAGCCAGTCCAGCCTCAGGGCCACCCTGCCCTGCGTCTGAGGCCAAATAAACATGATTTGGTGTTAAGATAGCTGAGCTGATGACCAATTTAAGTATATAGTTACATCGTGACAATTTGGTATTCATTTGGCCCTTGACCAACCTCATAGATATCTCAATATTAAATCAAGAACACTCCCTCCTTGTTCACAATGTTCTACTACCCTTCCCTCCACTAACTCTCCTGGTGAGTTGGTTAGTATCTGCAATAGAGTAGAACTCAGTGATGGATCTAATGAGTTCCCCTGTAGAACTTGAATGGTCCCCCGAGTTCTCTAGCATACCACACTGATGGACTGCATTGGTGATTTCCCAGCATGCCTTCACCCTCCTTCATTGCATTCCTGAGTCTAAAGCATGGTACTCACTTGTCCAGTGATATCCCTGGGAACACAAACTTGCCCAGGCAGATGCGACAGATAGCATGGAGGGGGATTTTCTGCATCTGCACACAGCTGAGCATGATGAAGTCATATTTGCAGATGAAGAGAGTCTGATCAGTGAGCATCAAAATCTTCTCCTTTTCATTGTTCCAATGGTCAATCCTATGGGAGAAGTAAAGCTGGTGACATTGTCTCTCCAAGGTAATGATGAACAACATTCATTATCACAGGCAGAAAACAGTGAGGAGAATCACCTCAGAACCAATAAGACTAAGGAATGCCTAACTCCTCCACTCCTTTTCTTGGTCTGACCCTATGACTAAAAGAGGAAGGAATCTGAAAGCTAATCCCAAAAGATTTTTTCAACCAAGAGCTCAGAAAGTATTACCCCTGACAGAATTGACCAAAGGAATATCAACTTTGTACCACATTGGTCTTCAACTGATTTCTACTTCTCCCTGACTTTCCTACTCTCTAGAAAACTTGTAGAGCACACCTTCCTTCAAGTACACAAAAAACACCTCATTCTACTAAATCTATATCACAAGAGTCATTCACTAAAACATATTAATGCTAATCACCAAAAGCGGTATTACTAGCTGAAGATAAAGCAAAGACTTAATGGCTAGCACTATTTACAGCCCATCCTGCCATACCCTCTTGGTGAATGAATGGAGTCAAATAGACACTAGATAAGTTTTTATTGGTTTGCTTTACCTCAGAAGCCAGAGCCTTTCAAGACTCACTTAGAAAAATCTGACAGTGTAAAGAATTCCTCTGGGAGAGAACAAGAAACAAGGAGAACAAGGTTTTCTGATTAAATGAGAGTGATCGCACTCTGTAATTCCTGTGGCACACAGCACCATTGCTGTCTCTTTCAACACTATAGTCTTTAGGATTTAGAATGTTATGATGAATGCTTCAGTGCATATTTTGTACTAAACAATAGAAAAGGTTGATTTGCATTTCAGTTTTCACCACAATCAATCTAACCTGTAATTTTTATGGGCACTCTGGTTCCAAACATTCCCTTCACAGATACCACAGTATAGTTTAAAAAGAAGAAGAAGAAGAAGAAGAAGAAGAAGAAGAAGAAGAAGAAGAAGAAGAAGAAGAAGAAGAAGAAGAAGAAGAAGAAGAAGAAGAGGAGGAGGAGGAGGAGGAGGAGGAAGAAGAGGAGGAGGAGGAAGAGGAGGAAGAGGAGGAGGAGGAGGAGGAGGAACAAAGAAAAAATCTTGACTGATATCATTTCTATGTTCACTTCATTAAATAGCATCTTCTGCCTAAGGATCAAATTCATGTTTCCTAATAGAAAACCCCAGGTTTCTTATCTTGTCTAACTTCTGCCCAGGATCATCATCTCACAGCAAGCTAAGAATATCCAATGTTCAAGTCATGACTCAACTATCTCATTCAAAATTGTTTTTATTTTTATTCCCATACTGAGGCTTGATTTCAGGACCTCACAATTTCACTTGGCTTGTTCACTCAAGGCTGTAACATTACCACTTTAGCCACATTTCCATTTCTAGATTTTTGATGGCAAATTCGAGATAAGGTTTTCACAGACTTTCCAGTTTTCAGAATCCTGAGTAGCTAGCACTAGCAGCATGAGCCACCGGTGCCTAGATTTTGAATTTATAAATTTGGCTTCTTATAATACACTCTGATGGTATCATGACCCTTTTTCCTTTGTGGAATGCATTAAATGTTTAGCAATGGATGTTGTGTGGCTACTGACCAAAGAGAATGTGCCCAAGAAATGGAATAAAGTATGGTAGCAGTAAATATGAGCTGAATATCAACCTTATGTGTAAGACAGTGTGTGTGTGTGTGTGTGTGTGTGTGTGTGTGTGTGTGTGTAGGTGTTTGATGGTGTGACAACATCGGTATAAACGTCTAGCTCTATCACTTACTAACTCTGAAAGATTGGATTTTTAAACTTTCTATGGCTAAGATTACTTACCTGTGAAATGGAGACAATTCTGGTATTCACTGTCTAAATTTGGGGAAATGATTAAGGGAAGTGATTCCCACTTAGGGTTCTAGAATTAGCTGTATTATTATTAGTAGGGACTTTGGTTACTAAGTAACTTTGATTTACCAAATATATGCCACCTCCAATGTAGTCAAAAGACAGACAAGAAAAAATTAAGAGTTGAATTAATCAGAGAGGGAACAGGAGAAAATGTGAGCAAGAAGGAAATAAAGATCAAAAATAAAGAGAGAAAGCCAGGTTCCAGTAATTCTATAATCCTAGCTACTCAGGAAACTGAGATCTGAGGATCATGGTTCAAAGCCAGCCCAGGCAGAAAAGTCCATGAAACTTTTTATTTATTTATTTATTTTTTGCCGGTCATGGGGCCTGAACTCTGGGTCTGGACGCTGTTCCTTAGCTCTTCAGCTCAAGGCTAGCACTCTACCACTGGAGCCACAGCGCCACTTCTGGCTTTTTCTGTTTATGTGGTGCTAAGGAATCGAACCCAGGGCCTCATGCTTGCAAGGCATGCACTCTACCGCTGAGCTACCTTCCAAGCCTGAAAACTCTATTTCTAATTAACCACCAAAAAACTACAAGTGGAGGGGTGACACAAGCGGTAGACATTTAGCTTTTAGGAAAAAAAAAAGCCCAGAGACAGTTCCCAGGCACTGAGTTTAAACCCCAGATAATAGCACAAGAGAAGAGAAGAGAGGAGGGAAAGAGAAAGGAGAAGAAGGGAGGAGAGAGAAGGGGAGGGGAGGGGAGGGAAAAAGGAAGGGAAAGGAAAAAGGAAGGGAAAAGGGAAGGGAAGAGGGAAGGGAAGAGGGAATGGAAGGGAAGGAAAGGGTAAGATCAATCACTAGGCCCAGTGCAAGGCAGTCATTGCATAGTGAGGAGTATTAGCTCAACATCCATCCACCCACAATCTTGCTAGAAGGTGACATATGAGTTATTGTACTGCCGAAAGAAATAGCATAGAATCTAAGCACTCTGTTTTAAATCTCGGCTCTATGGTTTCCACCCACTTTCACACACAGCACTATTCAGCTCCTCCTCCATTTCCTTCTTGCTGTTGGCTTCACACCCTGAGTCTTAGTCAGGAAGAGCTGGGGACTCTAAAATGTCTTATCAGATATCTACATAAACTTCTCTAAATAGACTGCATGTACTTAGCAGTATGGTATAAGCTGCTGCCTAATAAACCAGACTTGTTTTTAGTCTGGGAAAAAAAAAAAACACTGGTTAAATGGTTTTACTGAAAATGTCAGCACTCCATAATGAGATTTATTTTAAAAGGTAAAGGATTCCGGGGAGGGGAAAAAAAGAGAATTCTTTTTAGGAACGCAGAGTGCTCTACTGTGACACAGACTCTGCATAATTTCCATGCTGGCAATGACTGAGTTCAAGTAAACACACAAGTTCATAAATAGTGGGGCCACCATCTTTAGCTCCTGGATGCTATATTTATTTATTTAGACTGTTCTTGAGAACTTATGGATGAAAATTTACAGTCATTTCTGTGATTCTATCTCTTAAAGTCTGTTTTGCTCTCCTGTAATGTGTGTTTTACAGAGAACCAGTAAGATCTTACTTTTGTGGCTCCAAGACTGCAGGTATCCACAAAAGATTCCTGGGGTATATCAGTGAAGAATGAACACCCCTTGGTCTGTACTGCCTAGACGCCTTCACTCATGCTAGTTGAAGAATCGGACCCTCAGTTTTACATGTTAGAGTATTCCCCCATTAAGATAGTACATTTTAAAAAGTTGCAAACATTTGAGACATATTTATGTCACCATAGTGAGAAAGAGTAGGCCATGCATGCAGTCTACACTGTAGTCCCAATTTTATAACCATAACAAGGTAGTGCACAGTAACGTTTCTGAGTGGCAAGATTTGAAGTGATTTGTCTTGCTTTTATGTATTCTTATTTGCTAGAGTTTTATTTTGTAACGAATGTATTCCACCTTTATGTTAAAAAGGAAAACCTCGGCTCATCCTTCAAGTTTCCAGCTTAGATGTTTTCTATTTCATAGAGCTTTACTCTTCAAGTACATGTCTTCTTTCTTCTTTTAAACACACACACACACACACACACACACACACACACATCTTTTTCAGGGCCTCCATCATGGCCCTAGTCACAATTTCTCCTGTGTTAACGTGATTTCTGTACCTGCCTTACCCTTCCCACCACATATATGAAATAAAACCCCTGGCCTAATTCATATCTGCCATGATTCCCTGTGCCTAGCATAGAGCCCACATGAGAGCAGGGTTTCACCAAAGGATAGCAGTATGGAATGAAAAAAAAAATGGGAGCATTAGCATCAAAAAAAAAAGTCCCATTAGGCATCAGAGCAATTTTCCCTGGTGTCACTTCTTGTCACTGCTCTTCCCCAGCACCACCTGACTGCCACTCCCAAGAGAATGGAACCCAGTGCCTCCCTGACCCTCTTCCACAATCCCACCACCAACCAGCTGTGGGTTATTTCCTGAGATGACAACAGATTCGCCAGCAGAGGGCAACAGTGAACTAGCAATGACGGGCCAGACGATCCTGCACATTTCCAGGGACCACCCAGTAACCCAGTTAGTCAAATCATCCCCCGTTCTTTCCCAGCAGCCTCAGCCTCAGATCCAGCAATACTTTTACTTGCTCTTTTAAGACTGTCAAATCAATTTGTGGTTTGGAAATGATTTACAAGAACAAATTTCTTCTAATATTGTCTCTCTGTCTCAGTCTGGCTGTCTGTCTGACTGTCTCTCTCTCACACACACACACATAGACACACACATTCGCATGCACCACTCAGCAAAAGTATCTACTCTTATGTTGAATGGAGTGACTATTTGTGATTGGCAAACCAGTGCACCCCTACTCCTCTCTTAGTTTGCCCAACCCTTAGAGAGGAAGAGAATAACACAGGTAGCCCAGAGTCACCAACCCAGGAGGAAAACACTGAATCATTCATTTCACACTCATTCCCTGAGCACCCACTGGGTTCCAAGCCATGAAGAAAATCCAACTGGGGTTGACCATTGAAACACAAACAGATGAAAAACACATGGCATTAGAGCAAAGCAATTTTCCCTCTCCCTGGGTTAAGTGGAGTCTTGTAAAAACCCTTTTCTAAATAATCCACATATTTTTTTTCAATTATTTGGTTACTCTTTTGCT